TCGATTTGCATATTTATCAATGAGGGAATATTATTTTATTGACAAGAAATAGTCGAGTTAGCTTTCCCGATGGAGGATTACTAATTTTGATATTTCTTTTCGAGTTAAAGAATTTTTTGTAATTAATTTAATTCGAAGCAAATTAATCAATGTTCGATAAATGGATCACAATTTAATTTTATATTCGATTCATCAGTTCCACCATTTATGACAACGCGTAAGCGACACAATACCAATTTTGGGCGCTCTGGGGTGCTAACCCTTCTCCACACGTAAACGACTCCCGAATCCTTTCAAATGGAATCCTTGGTGACGCAGGCTATTTTTGTCTAAAAAATGATTTTTTTTAAATTGTTTTTAAAGACATTTTTAGGTATTCGACCTACCTAACCCAAAGGTCGATGGCGACTCCTTTCAATTTAATTCTAATTAATCCAAAATCACCTAATTTATCCAAATTAAAGTCGTAATCGTTTTTTAAAATAATATTTATTTGTTTTACGAAAAATGGTTATGACAATAATAATATTTTCTTTAAATGGTTGAGTAATGGTAAAAGTTATTATTCGAATAATATGTGTCCTCTTCTTTGAAATAGAGATCTAAACATCTAGTACGAACCAAGCGACATCAATAGTAAAAGAATTGTTATTATTCATTGAGGTCTCAAGATTGAATATAAAAAAATGTCAGATGTACGAATATTCAATGTTAAATGGTTGAGAGTCATCTTTAAACAAATATTACTTTGATTAATAAAAATATATATATAAACACCGAATAAAACTAAAACTTTTACAATAATATAATTAAATCATTGAGTTAGTTTTTTTTAATTGGATTTGGACCCTTTTTGTTTTTTGATTTTGGGTTTCTATCAATTGGTCCATTTAATATATATTGTACGCATTCATTTCAGTTCAACATTGGCCCATAATTTAAGATTGGAGTTTAATTCAAACTCGACACCAGAATCATGAACACTTATGCTCAACCCTTAAACCAAGATGCACAAGCTCTCGACTGCACACGCCAGCCAGTCAGCCAGCCCTTCAGCTGAGCACTACCCCACACCACACAACCAATGGACCACCGTTACAACCCACATCGGCTCACTACCGAGGGCCTTGATCCCCTGCCACAAGACCGAGCCTCACATTACTTGCTAATAGCCGTACCAACACTCAACCCGCCCTAAGACCACAACAACTAAGCAAACTTAAGCCTACTACAACCAAAACCCACATAAGCAAACTTACCCACGATGTCTACCAACACCCAAAGATTTAACCTTAAAATTTAAATATTAAGAATCTTATCAAATTATTTAAAGCACTGAAACCTACTGACTGAGAATAACGGAGTTTTGCCGTGACACTTTATTAAACAGTATCAATTAGACCCGCGTCGGCCATAAACAACGAACGCGTGAGAGACCAATCTTAAATACAAACAAGATGGTCGCTCAACCTACATCCACCTCCCCGCCATTGCTGTTGCTCTCTTCATTTCTCACACGATGGCAATCGCCTCCAATTCCATCGTCTCTTCCGCTCACCGCTCACTGAGTCAGCCCGGAACCCATTCCCACCCTCTCCCTTCCTCTTCTATTTCTTTGCCCCCATCTCCTTCACTCTCTCTAAAACTCATCCACCGCTCCATCTCGCCACTTCACTGCTCTTCAAATGTACCCGACACCACTGAAAATGACACCCCCCATCGAAACAAGTAAGCTTTTTTTCCATCCATTTTAGACCCAAGTTTAACTTTTTCAAAATCATTATGTTATAGTGAAATCTGGGTTTGTTCATTTATTTCTTGATTGTTTCAGGGTACCCAGCTTTTCCTGCTGTGATGGACATCGGTATGGTAAGAGAGAGATTACCCCACTGGTTTAACTATACTCTCCAGTTTTGATTTCTTATTTTTTTTAGCTTTCTTTTGCTTGCTTCTCTAATTGTATTTAGTGGATTTACTTTGCTTGTAGGTTTCCATTTTTACTGGTGGATAGAGTGATAGAATAAAATCCGGGGGTGTCGGCTGTTGGTATAAAGAATGCGAGTATAAATGATAACTTTTTCCCTGGACACTTCCCTGAGAGGCCTATAATGCCTGGTGTTCTCGTGGTTGAGGTAATTAATCTTCCTTTCACTTTTCCCCCCTGAATGACTGTAGATTTAACCGCTTTGTTTATCATTTAACTCTTGTTGGGTTCAGTTTTATGAATGCTTTATAGCATGCATAGTTTCCTTGTCGAATAGGATTATATCAGGATGTATGCAATTGTGTAGTTATTTGATAACTTTTCAGTTAGGAATCTACTTAAAAGGAGGTGTAAGACTGGTCTTGCTTTATGGCTATACTTGTATGTAACAGAAACCTATGTTATATGGACTCCTGGTGCGTGTCGGATAAGGTATGTGTCCAGCATGGATATATGATCAGTTTTTCTAAGTTCTTCCATATATTGAGGGATTGTATCTTCATACACGTCCAGATATTCATCAGACATGGGCTTTAGATGCGAGTAATTCAAGAAAAATAAAGAGTTGGAGTAACATAGACAGAAACCCCACATAGCATAGCCGAAGTCTTATTTGCTGAAATGCACTTGCAGTAATATGGGGAAAGAAATAAGAAAATAAATGGCAGTCTAAACTGGAGATTGAATTAGTTTTTTTAATGTCACGCCTTATTATTCAATCACATAAATTAAATACGCATTGCATAGGTAAAACACGATTGCACAAGTTTCTATTTATGCCATTTGGAGGAAATTGATAGAAGTAACAACGAAAAAAAGTTGGGCATATCATAGGTGTTTCTGCGCGTAGTGCCTATGGAGCTTGCATCCAATGGTTCTTCAGTTTATATTTTACCTGATTAAATAATCCGTATTGAACTGTGGCTAAGAAAAAAACTTGGGGAACCAAAGGCCATGAATGCTACCATGTAAGGACACGTCATGGTGGAACAAGCAAGTAAAGACCGTTATTAAGAACAAACAAATTTGCTATAGATTACTGGTGATACGAAGAATTTTGAGAAATACAAGCTGGCAAAGAACGGACAAGACATTTCTAAGGAGGCCATTTGCTATATACTACCAGTGATACAAGGAGTTTTGAGAAATATAAGCTAGAAAAGAACGATCAAAACATTTGTAAGGAGGCTATGCACAATAGACTACTGGTGATATAAGGAGTTTTGAGAAACATAATCTAGCTAAGAATTGCCAGGACATTTGTAAGGAGGCTTGAGTGAGCCTATAAAACAATTATGATATATTGGACTCAAAAGATGGAGAGAATGATATCTATAGCCTTGTTTGTATAAGGGAGAAGAGGGCTAAATAGTTGGGAATTGTTATATGCATTAAAGATAACAGTTATATGGTCCTGTTGAAGGATGAGGAGATTAAAGATAGATTGATGTAATAATTTGATAAGCTGTTCAATGGTAGTTACTCTCAAGATGCAGGTTATTAGACTTTTCCATCAGAGGACCTAAGTTATGATTTTATGCATCTGACAAGGCCTTGCATAAAATGAAGACTAGAAAGACGGTAGTCCCAAATGCAACTCCTATCATGTGTTATTGACTCGATGAGTTTGTTGGATGTTTGGAAAACTTGTAATAGCATATCAAATGAGTAGAAGAAGATTATCTTGGCACCTTCAATTTTAAAAGACTAAAACCTATGAATCATACTATGAAACCTTTGGGCAAACTTATTGAGCAATGTTTATGAAAGCAGAATAAGAATGCTAATAATTAGTTTGCTCTCATGCTAAGACAACCCACTGTGGGTACTAATAATCTCTTGCAGCAACTTTTTGAGAAGTTTGGGGGTGTCATAGTGAGATTTGCACAAGATTTTTATTGATTTACTGTAAACTTTTGACAGAGTACCTAAAGATGTTCTTTGGTAAAGGGGACGGTTGTTTCTTCCAAATATGTTGGTGTAATACAAGATATACATGAGAGAGTAGTTAGAAATGTAAGGACTTGTAGTGTATTGAAGCATGAGTTTTGATGCAATAAGGGTGCACCAAGACCCAGATTTCTTTCCAGCTCTCTTTACCCCTGTAATGGTTAAGATAACTAAAGACATTCAAGATGAAATACCTTGGTGTGTGCTATTTGCAGATGAAAATGTATTGGTTAGTTGAGACTAAAGAATGATTAATACCAAGTTACAGACGTGGAGGCAAACATTAGAAACTCAGCGGTTTAGATTGAGCAGATTGAAGACTTAGTATATGGAATATACATTTAGTAAAAGAACGAATAATGATCAAAACGTTTCAATGGCTAGTGATCCCATCAGCTAGTATTTTCTGTATCTATCTTATTCTGCATCATTCCTTCTTTATTATGATTTATGTGTATAGCAGATGCTTTAGTTGCCATCCTTCAAACCTTCTGTTATCGCTCTTCTATTTTATTTTTCAACACTACCCTGCTATGTTACTCTGCATAAAATTGAAAGTTTTGTTCTGAGTATTTGTACAAGATGTTGTCATATATATGTGGCTACTTTGGCTACTGTAACCTACTCAGCTCATTAATCTCGTGTATACCTAACTAGTACATCAATACTTAAATTTATCTGTTTCATCCATTTAAATTGGTTTCAGAATGCCCCCTCTCCCCTTGATTGCTTTTCTATACATGCTTACATTTGTAGGGATTGATATGTCATCTGCCCTGTATTTAACATACTCAATGAAACATGGCTCTTGTAGCTTCCATGTATCATTTTGGTTTAGAGCAATCTTTGCGTAAAAGTCATACCCCATGTTGCCGTATTTTTTTTTCTTATTCTAAAATAGATTGTCTGCTGGCAGTTTTGTGTGTTATTTTTTGGCTAGACATCACTTGTTTTTTCTGTTATTTAAACTTCTTGACTATTTAATTGGACAAACAGGTCAAACATCATTCATATAAACTAATCCGCTGTTAAAACATAAGTCAAACATCATTCATATAATCTAATATTATAACTTACTATAACATTTAAATTTAATACCTGGAGATTTTGTCTTCCTCATCCTAATGGCCATTGCTATGCCAAAAAGACCACGAGCATTTTTATATATCTCTAGTTCGTCAAGGATCTTGTCTTGCATTTGAAGATTCGAAGTTAACCTTCCAATGCAATCGATTAACCCCGTCATAACTTCTTCATTTGATGTCTTGAGATTATCATAATAAAGACCCGGATTTAAAAAATAACCATCAGCATGCAAAGGCCGGTGAAGTTGGCAATCCCATCTTCTATCGATAAACTCAAAAGCTTCTTTGTAGTGCTCATCATTCATTCCAAAACTCTTCGAAATAGCCTCCTTAGCTCTATCCATAGCTTCATAAATGTATCCCATAGGAGGTTTGTTCTCTCCATCAACCATTCGAAGAACCTTAACAAGTGGCCCCGATAACTTTAGAGCATACACCACATTCCTCCAAAAAAAAACTTGTAAAACATAGGATGCCAATTTCTTTCCAGATGTTTCCTTTGACGACTTCGATTCAATCCATTCTTGAGAAGCAACCATCTTTCTCAAATTGTTTCTTTGCTCGTGGAATTGTGCAAGAGTGATGAAAGATGTTGCAAATCTCGTTATTGTCGACCTATGTAAATTCCTTTGATTTGTGAACTTCCTCATCATGTTCACACGGGAAATGTGGCCATATATATAGCCATTCATAAATATGCACTTCTTTAGTGCATTCCTCACTTTAGAAAGCTTTCCAATATCCTCCAACATGAGATCGATACAATGTGTCACACAAGGAGTCCAATAAAGATTCGGTCTCTTTGCTTCTAGCATTTTTCCTACAAGTAACAAAATAACAAATTGCTTAAAAATCCAATATTCAAGTAACTTGAATAATAAAAAAATAAAGAAAAGAAAATAATTAAATGAACTTATTTTTCGTACCGCCTTTAACGTAGTTAGATGCATTGTCCGTCACCACTTGGACTACATTTTCCTCCCCCACTTCCTCAACCATCTTATCAAGCATATGAAACAACAAATTTGCATCTTTGACAATTTCTGAGGCGTCCATGAATTTAATGAATACAAGTTGACAAGAAAATTCACAATATCCTTTTGGACAACAGAATCACACCATCCATCTGACATAATTGAGCAACCCTTTTGTGGCCACTCTTTTTTGTGATTCTCTAATGCCTTTTAAGTGTCATCTACTTCATTCTTCAAGAGAGGAACTCTAATCTCGTGCATGCTTGTAGGTTTCAAACCGAGACCATATTGCCCGATAGCTTTACACATTTCTTTGAAGCTAGATTGATTTGCCGCATTGAATGCTAATCCGGAATCGTAAAAAAATCTTGCAATTGCCCTACAAGATTTCTCCCTTAATTCTTTCTGACAAGCTGCATGCACACCTCCCTCTTTGCTTGGATTAACTTTGGGAGTGACAAATAAGTCCATTGGACCCTTGACTCTTGGTTTTTTGGGTAAGGGTCTTTCACGCTTCTGACTTGAGTTACCCCCACTTGAGTCTAATACATCAAGTTCTTCCTCATCATCATACTCATCAATGCCATGAGTCAACTCTTAGTGTAACATTAAATTTGCAACCTTTACTTCCTGTTTCTTAACCATGAAGATCTTCACTTCCTCCCTTACATGCTCACGACAATTAGGACATTTGGTCGCATTCCTAAATCCTCCAACCAAGTGTTGTTTTAGCCGAAATACTCCTCCTTTAAAATCATTTTTACAAAAATTGCATTCCCAATTGTTCTTTTTCGTCGGCTCTGGCGTTCCATATTTTCTTCCCGGATCTATGATGATCTGGTTGAAGCTTCCGACTCCATAATTTAATTTCTAACCTGAAATTCATATATGAAACATTTTATTAGAAATCAAACCAAACATTCTATTAAAAATCAAAATTCAAATCAAACTAACTGTTACTGGTTAACAACTAACAAGCATTTGAATTTTGAATTTTTAAGTTTTAACAAGCTGCCGACTCCATAATTTACTTTTTTTTATAACGTTTATTTTTCATAAAAGATATTATAACATTGCTAAAACAATGTCCTCAAAGGGAATACTTTCCCCAAATATAAGTGTGAATCTGCTGCACCGCCCATGCAGCTTATTTAAAACCCATTCCATAGCTGTTTAAGAACAAATACACATGGTCTATAGCAACCCCACAAATCAATTCATGATTTTGACTCAAAAACCTTTAAGGCTTTTTATCAAACAAGTAATTTACAATTTCAACCATTCATGCTCAGCTCTGTATATAGATACGAAAGAAGAAAAAAGCAACCCATGTTTTTCATCCTCTATTAAGTGCAAACTTACAATTTAATCAAAAAAAAGTAACGAGTCGGTGGTGGTGAAGAAAGAGGAGAAGGGGTGAGACGGTGGTGATAAAGCCAAGGAGCGGAGGAGAAGGGGATTACCTGGTCGGCGCCCGGCGGTGGTGACTACTGTGACTGCCGGCGAAGAAGAGGCGAAGAAGAAATCGTGCGTGCGTCGTGCGATGGAGAGAATAACTTAGGGATTTTGGATTTGGGAACAGGTAGGTTTTTTTTAGTTTTAAAATTATAATTATTTATTAATAATAAAGGGTGAAAACATATACCATAAGCGCATAGGCGTTGCGCCTGGCGCCCGACTCGGAGGCGCGTGCCTTTCGTCGCCTATCGTATGTGAGCTCGCACAGACCCAGGCGGGTGCAATTTTCGGCGCAAAGGTGCGCCTTTTAAAACCAGGCACTGATCAATGCATCTTTAATGTTAGTAGAAACTAAGAGAAGTATTTACTTGGTCCAGGCAATGGCACAAGAAGTGGGAGGTTCTCAAGAACATTTCTATTTTGCTGGAATTGACAGAGTGAGGTTTAGGAAACCTGTCGTTCCAGGAGATACTTTGGTTATGAAGATACACTTGCCAAACTCCATAAGCGGTTCGGAATAGCAAAATTGGAAGGGAAAGCATAAGTTGGAGGTCACTTGGCATGTGAGGGTGAGTTCCTGAAGGCTACTGGTAGTAATTGATAAGACTTGATATTTATCCATATGTTTCCTTCAATTTCCCGTAAATTAATGAAACATGGTCTGCTCGAGGCTTTTATTCTATATCAAAGGAGTTTGTTAATTATCAAAATTTATATCCTATGCTCTGTTCGTTGAAATTCAATTAAGTTAGAGCAGCAGTTCCTCCTCATGAATGAGATCTTCAGTAGAAAACAAATGTACTCATAAAATCTCCTAACCAGCTTTAACTGATTGAATAGCCTTCCAGGTTTGCACTCACAAGAATATCTCAACAGATGAGCATTTTCAATATTTGAGTGCAGACCTTGGGAACAAAGAGAGTTGTATGAATGCGGGTTCAGCCTAATTAGTTAATGCAACCATCCTTAAGATGTAACATCCAATAAGTCTATAGTTTTTACCAGAATATCTGCAACCATTTATTTTGTACCGAAAAAAGAGCAAGATGTATTGAAGTTGAAAGGAAGGACTATTGATGTCTGAGTGTTGTTTTCTGGCTCCCAATGATGTGGCTGATGAGTGCCATTTACCTTTAGTTTTCTGCACACAATCTGTAGTGGGACTCGATGGTAGGAAGGACTGTGTCCTTTATGCAAGCCATGGAGGCCCATTGCTCTTTCTTTTGCTTTTAAGTTGGTAGGGAGCATCAATTGTTCCACCTCTCTTATTTAATGGAATCTCTTGTCCTACAGCCATACAGTTGTTTGCATGTGTGGGTGAGCCCATCTTTGCAGACGCAACTGCTAAAACAATTGCTCACTACTGCTGATATTTGTGTAGGCAAAACCCCATAATCTTTTTTATTTAAAGGGAGATGCTGGTTATAGTATCTGCAATGAATTTAGTTGCCTAAAGCTCCATATAACTTTTTTTTAATAATATGTGGTGATTATAAGATAATATCTGTTCAGAATCTTTCTTAGCTATTGACAACACACCCCTTCAGACATAGCTGCTCGAACCCGGGATCTTTAGGGAGAACAATATTATTTTTTTATTAGATTATGATTTATGCTGCCTGTTAAAGCAAATTCAGCTGAGCATGATATTCATAGGTTCATCTCGAGTCTTCAATAGCATACTAATTTTTACTGGAAAATTGTCTTGTGATGTCATATTAGAAAGTTTTTAACCTCAGTTACATATCATTTTCCGTCATTGTTTATAGTCATAGAATGAGTTTCACACTCAAACAAAGGAAAATGACATGCAATATTGAACCAAAACACACACAGACAAAGAAATTGACAGGCAATGTGCCATTACAAACAACCATGAAACAAAGATGGGACAATACAAATAAAAAATTTCTCCATCATGTTGTTGCTTTGTCATCTCAATTTTTCACTTTCATGCTGAATTATTGGACTCCCCCCCACCCCACCCCAACCCAACCTGCTTGGTAACAAGTATCTGCTCAACTATGTAGCTTTCCAGTTTTCAGTTCAACTCGAGAGGCTGCAATATATAAACCAATTAATTAATCAAATTATATGATTGAACTTATTTTATTAACAAATTATATCACTTACCGGTAATTACATTATATAATTTGATTGTAGAAGTTGCCTAACATGCATATATGACTTATTTTACGAACATAATGAACTTTGGGATGTCATGCTTGTCACAGGATGGTGAATCAAACTTTTGTTTCGAAATTGGATATGCAAGAGACCTAATTTTCTAATATCAGTTCATTAATATAGTTTGATAAAGTCAAAGTCTTATCATGATGTATATGAAACTGACTTTTAATGTAAATTGTAAGAGTTAATAATTATATAGTTATGATCACTTATTTGAATACATAATTTTTTTAGTATAATGTATATTTAGACATATTTCTTTCAACCCATAAGTTGATGAGGTTGAACGTTCAAGTATATTCAATTTATATCTTTTATATAATATATCGACGATGATATCAATCAAATTAAAATTGGTATTAAAAATGGAACTTTTATAAACAAATTGAATTATTTTGAGAAATATATTAATAATATTTTTCTCTTAAATGTTATTTTAGAAAATGAAAAATGACAAGTGTGATGGAGATTAGATGAAGCAACACTTGGTGACGTTTCATTGGAGCAATAATTGTTGGTAGGACCATTTCATATGACGACAGTATAGTGTTGTCATATTCCAATTGGTTGTTACGGATTTAATGACTTTTTTATACTTTATTCATTTTTTATATTATTATATGTTAGGCTTTTGTCATAAGAAAACTAGGGACGACCCTTTTGGAGGACCCCAATAATTGGCACATAATAACTGCTAATATTAACATATTTTGAAAGGTAAAAATATATTAATATATATATTATATATTTGGTATAGTCATGAATCATCGCTTACACAGAGGAAATAACAGGTGACCACCTTATTCTCTTTCATTTATGATTGTTGAAGTTTCTATATTTTTTAATTGAAATGCTGAATCCATTATAAGTTTGGATTGGGGAATAGATAACATAAGACTTGAATTATGTTTTCCGTGTTAATGTCCAATGATTTTATGGGTAATGTACACAAATGGTCTCTCGATTATAATGTATTACTTTATTAAGTCATTCGATTATTATAAGTTACAAAATTGTCATCTAACTATAGAGTATTATTTTTGTTGAGTCCCTCGACTATTAAAACTTACAAAATGGTCCTCTAACTATGTAGTATTGTTTTGTTGAGTCCCCCGACTATTAAAAGTTACAAAATGGTCACTCGACTATTCATTATGTTCCAAACTCTTATTTTTCTGTTTAAAAATTGACGGCATTCTAAACTGAATGTTAACTTGTTGATTGTGATATGATAAAATATGATCCATAACCTCACACGACTATCATATCTCAGTCACCATATTAACGTCTAGCTTAGGCAACAACCAATTTTTTAACGGAAAAGAACGTGTTTGGCACATAATAGATGGTCGGATGACTATTTTGTAACTTTTAATAGTCGAGGGACTTAATAAAGCAATATCCTATAGTCAGAGGACCATTTGTGTGATTTACCCTAATTTTATTCTTTCAACTATGATAATATTTGAAAAAAACATGATAGCTAATAAATTTAAATTTAGCAATTTAATATATTTATTACAAGCTCTTCTTGTACTTTAAAAGCAAGATTTATTTTTTAAATTTGATGACTTGAGAGATTGAAGAATGATTAGGTCCTAACGGAGGGGAGTTAAGGAGTCATTCACTTGTTGCATGCATGTTTCAATTTAGATGACAGCTAACTTTAATGACATCTTAAACAAAAAGGAATGGTTAAATTTTTTGACTTGTCTTTTAGCATTATTTTTTACGAAATAATTTTCCTATTGTTCAATTGCTTGATTTGTTCTTGCACTAAATAAATCATCAACGGGAGAAGATTCGAATAATTATACCGCAAGAAATCTCTAAATTCACTCTCTTATTTACTTGTGCATTTTAACCTTTGTTATTAGATCAATATTATTGTTTATTTTAGGTCGAGTCTTACAATCCATTAATGATCTAATTAATTAATATGTTGAATTATTAATTAGTTCATATATATAATATGATTTTTTTATAAATTAAATCTTGGAAAATTTTATGTCGAAACTATTCAATAACGATGGTACACTTTTGCAGTTATTTAAAAAAAAAAACCTCTTATTTAACGGAGTTGATTCGAGTAAAGCTCTTAAGACAAAGGAATTTAAAGTGGTATTTTTATTTAACAAAACAGATAGCATCCAAGTAATCTCACTTGGATCCACCAAATGTACTAAAAACAGGTGGTTGGTCCGTCTCTAGGCTTATATTTAAGACGATCATATATTATTATGTAATAATTTTACTTATATTTAAGAATGGAAAATTGAAAGCTGACAATCTGATCCCATGAGTCCCCACTGATCATTTGTAAGAATGAGACCGCCACAATTCTGGAACTTCTCCAACTGGCAAACTATGTAGTTCCATTCCCTATTAAATTCATATTTTCCTTTTTTAAGATAATATATATTATTGAAATAATAATGTATAGTTAGTTGAATAATTAATTTTTTTTTCATCTTTAGAGGTCGTGGAATAAATTTGATCAAAGATAGCGTAGAAGATGAAGGTGAAAAGAGGAGTCGAAGGAGAGAGGTTTGGATATTTTTTTTTTTAATTTTAATTAAAACAAATTTTAGGTTTATTAGTTTGGAGTGCGACTTAAGGGTATAAATGAGATATATTATTTGAGTTATTGATTATCATAATTCATGATTTAGATGGATCATAAATTTAATCTATCTTTTCAATTTTAATATATATATAATTTTAAAATTTGTATAAACTAGTACTCGTTGTAGCAATAAGATGAAAACACTGTAGAATGACTATTTGAAATACTGGAATGGTTAGTTTAAGTGAGGTGGACATCATTGAAACCCGTGCCCGTAACGAACGGCCCAGATTCTCTCTCCACTCTCTTTATCATCTTCTCTATCGTCTCTCCCTCCCATTTCCAGTTCCATTTCTCTCTCACTCTCTTCTGTGAATAAACCAGTGGAGAGAAAAGAGAGAATAAAAAAACACCCACATAAACAAAAGAGCATGCTGCTAGGTAAACGCATACGCCATCCTATCAAAAGGACGGCAAGCATGACGGGGATCACGGTGGATGTCGTCTCCAACGTCGACGACGGTGTTATTGTCCAAGAACCTAACATATCCGATGATCCTCAAAACCACCCTTTCCATGAACTCCCTAACGCCAACTCCGGTTACGATCAGCGTTTACTATACATGGTGTCGCCCAGAAACCCCGGCGGCAGTGGTAGAAGATCAGCTTTTACTAGTAACCATGATCTCGACGGCATCACTCCTTTTTTACGCTCCTGTTGCCTCTGTAAACGCCGCTTAGCTCCTGGCCGTGACATATATATGTATAGGTAATTCCCTCTCTCTCTCTCTTTCTTCCAAGGAAACCTTTGTTTAAGTCCAGTTTGAATTTTTATAACAATTGCAGGGGGGATACAGCGTTTTGTAGTCTAGAGTGCAGAGAACAGCAGATGAAGCAAGACGAAAGAAAGCAAAAAGATCCCAAAGTAGCCTGCCCATCCCAGAATAATAAACGGGGAAACTAGATCCTCTTTCGTCATCGACTAATCTGCTCCCCTCCAGTATCGAACCCCTTCATGTTTCACAGTACTATTAAAAGATTGATGACGACGACGATGATGAAAACAATATCATGGGTGTGCTGTATAATATTTTATGAAATTGAAAACAAGTATTAATGGGTGCTGTTTTACGAGTATGTGGATGCTGACGCAAATGGGCAAATCTTGTAGCTTGATATCAGCATTTACGATTCCATATTTCAAAATTCTCTCCAAGCCTTTTCGTTTTTCCTTCTTTTATGGCCTTTTTTTCTTTTAATGGCAAACTAAATTGTTCATAATATGAAGGAATTGATTATAGTAATTTAATTAGTTAATATTATAAAATAAATATATTTTTTATAAATATTATAATATAAAGTTGATCACATGCTAGAGTATATATACAAATTTGTTGCAAACCTATAACAGTGATATTTATAACAATTTGTCATTTAAAAATATCGTAGTAAACCCGATTATGGAGTGTTTTGGGTTTGCTGAATCAATAATTTCAATTAATTAGATGAGAATTAAACTTATTTTAGTATAAAAGAGGATTTTTTAAACTTCAGCTCATAGTAGGAGATTAAAGAGTAATTATCCTATTTTATGAGAACAAAGCGAAACCAATGTTAATAATTTTTCTCTCTAGAACCCGATCTCAATGGTAAAAATAAGTTGATGAATCCTCCAAAACTAAGGGAAAGGAAAAAGTTGTTGAATTATAGATAACAAGGTTTTTCTTACTTAAAATAGAGGTATCACTTCTAATCTTAAAGTGTTTCATGGATAAGTGTAATGTGATCACTTGGTGACTTAATATGGTGTTTATGTGTTATGATAGTTTAGCATACTTTATGTTGCTCCTTTAATGATTTGTTTTCTGTATTTAAATCTTATTGAAGATGCTAACATGCTCATTTGATGTGTATGCTCACTTTGAAGGGTTTTGGGTCAATATTAGGGTCATTTTAGAGTGATATTGAACTTAAATGATTTTATGAGGAGTTTTGAAAACTCGGTCCTTAATAACACAACATCAACTTTTATTGAGATTGGTGATAATGTATATGTTGGAAGCTCCATGAGACCAACTCGGTCACCATAGAGGACGTAGGATATATCAATAACACAACATCAACTTTTTTTTTTATGTTGGTTAGCGTTTTATCTTATAAATTCATAGTGCTTAATAATACTTAAATGGTAGAGTTGATCATATATCATTCAGGCGGTAAAACCGGTCATCTATCAATCAGGCGGTATAATCGACCATATATTATTTAGGCGACAGAGCCAACCATATACAAACACAAGTGCACTAAAAATTTATCATTAGATTATTGACACATCAACATCTTAGCCATTTAGTATTACAAATATCTAGATTATTTTATCAATATTTTCATACATCTATTTTTTCTATATTAATCTAGAATGTTCTCAAAATATATCTCTTATTATATATTTATCTATAAATTGCATTGGATTTCAACAATATATGATAACGAGTTTAAAAGATTTTGATTACTAATGAAATGAGCATTTAATGGCAATGCTTGTTAGTGTGCCTTAGTGGCAATGCTTGATGAGTTTTAGTGGTAATATGGTATGGATCAATTAACTTACCGGATATTAAACTACCATGGTAGGAATATTATATTGTCTTAGTGGCATTCGTAATATATGCAGTTTCTTGGTTTGAGTTCATAATCATATTTCAAATGTGATTTTTTTGGTTGAAAATGAGTTGTTTAGGAATGTTTTTATATTTCAAACAGAATTTTGGACCAAAAACACTTCCATAAGTATTATTAAACGGTTCCTTCATCTAGATTAGCAAAAGATTCGAGCCATGATAGTCCTTCCTTTTCTCTGGAATTTGTAATGATTAACTCCAAAGCTATTGTATTTGTAATTAATCGATAAAAAATTTAAAAAAATAACCTTAATATTTAAATTAATTTAGAAAACAAAACAATAAAAGAAAGAAAAATTATTGGTAAGGTATGTATGGACTATGGTAGAGGCTTAAGATATTTGGGTGCTGAAACAATAAAATATGTCAATTCTCATTTTTGTCAAATATGTATGGTGGCCTTCTCCTATTAATTAATACTTTTTTGACATTCGTCCATGAATGGTGCAATCAATCGCCTTACAATTTATATGATTTTCTTTTTCTTCATCTCACACTATCTATATTTAAATGTTGATATGCAAAACATCAAAATAATAATAATAATTTTGATATACAACAAATAACATAGTAATTTACGATGGTTTAAACGGTAAAAAAAAAAGATGGTTAAGCCAATAATTTATGGTTAAACCCTCTTACGTGGACGAAAAAGAGATTTGGTTATTTTGTAGAAATATATGGTAGGATCTATCTTCTCTCTTTATTTCAGCGGGATGATTTATTATATGTATCGAGTGTTTGATGGTAACGTAATTAGATTAATATACAACTACAAGGAATTAAACTTAATTCATTATAAATCTAATATATTTACTTTATAATTCAATGTGTGAGTCTATTAAGTAATATGAAAGATAGCATACGTCTATATCACAGTGTCATGCCCCTCAGAAGTGAGAGATGGAGGGGGTATGACACCCATGAAGCTGAAGATCTTAAATTTATTAAAACTAAATTTTAATTTTAATTTATTTATAATATTATAATTTAAAATTTTAGTATTATTTAAGAGATAGAATTTCACATTATGTTAAATTAACTTATAGTTATATTATAAAGTGAATTTTATGTAGAAAAGAATCAATTAAAATTTACAATACCTTTCAACTGGAATATTCCTTCATCTTCAACAGCAAACTACCACAAGAAGAACTAAACGTTTTCACATGAACTTCTATGGATATACATTTTAATAATTCAAATGTTATGTTAGACAAATGAAAATTGTTATTCTATAATATATTCAATTGACTTTATGCATTAAATATTAGGGTAAATTACGCATTCAATACCTAAACTATTAATTTTTATCCTTTTTAGAACCTAATATGTATTTTTTTTATAAAAACATACCTAAAGTTTAGTTTTTGTTTCATTTTAGTATCATGTTCAAAATTTAACATTAAGTTCTGAAGAAAAAAAAAGTTTAGATATTAAAATAAATCAAAATTAATAGTTTAAGTACTAAACGCATTAAGTTTTTAACGGTGGGGTACTAAAATGAAACAAAATTTAAATATTAAATACGATTTTGAAAATAAAAGTTTACATACTAAAACAGACTGATAATAATAATTTAAGTACTAAATGTTTAATATTGAGTATACATCACCAGGGATACTTTTTCGATAACTATGAATAAATAATTGTAAAATATTATTATAACGCTCTCCCCTTTTTCTTTTTCTTTTTCTTTGAGTTTGTATCGTTTTTTATAGATTAGATTAATTATTCTTCTTTTGATTTTGTTTAGCCGATGATGATATCGATTTTGATATTAATTGTCGACCGTCGATTGTCTTTTCTTTATTTTTTATTTTTTAATAAGAATAATTTTGTATGTGCTGCACGTTTATCTCTGTCTTTGTGTCATGTTTATCTCTGTTTTTGTGGCACGCTTTTCCTTTTTTTCTCGGTTGTTTGTTCGTTATTTTATTTATATTTTATCAGAGTTGGATTTGACGACGTCACGACTGATCAAGATGGCACTTATTTGAAATCTTGTTGATCTTACCTACTATGGACCTTTGGATTGAATTTGGATACATGATGTTGTGTTTGTGGATATTTTCTCACGGCGCTCGACTCTGATTTACAGTTCTTGGTGGACTTTCAATAGTTTAATTCACTTTTATAGTTTGTTTGTCGATTCAATCAGATTTATTCATATTTATTTTTGTTTTAGTCTTTTGGTTGTATTTTTAACTTTTTTCATATATGGTCCTTATATGATCTAAAATGGCTAATTTTAATATTATATGAAAAATTCTAAATTATGTATTTAGTTTAATATGATAATTGTAAATTCTTAATGTAATTTCAGATATTTTTACTTTTTAATAATACTAGCTGATTATACTAAAAAATAATCAAAAAAATATCACTGTTTCATAAATCATAATATATTATAAATAGCGTTCAGAGAATATAATTTTTATAAGCACCGGAAGCAAACGCTTAGGCCTACATGTAAGCTCTTTTTTAGTCCTATAATTGTCCAATCTGTAAAAAACATCCCTTGTCACATTCAAACTAAATTTAATCATTTTTTATATTTTTAATGTATTTAATTATTTGTAAAACTATAGCTTATTTCCTAATATTAATAGGACTCTTAAGCTAGAGGACACAAATTTATTAGATAATTTATTTGTGACCTTTAATAATAGATAATGAAACAAAATCTTGAATATCAAATTTTGTGGGATTAATATATGGAGTCAATCAACCCTCTGATTGGGCAAGTAGCTGCCCAATAATTATAGTTTTTGAAGTCTCTTTCTTTGCAAGATAAAGAGAAACTAATTACGTTGTTAATGTTTTCATTTAAGTAATTACTAAAGTTAGCCATGGTTGAAAAAAATGAAGCTTATGAGAATTTTTTTTATTAATCTAAAATAATTATAATTTGTGGTATATGTTCAAAAGATAACTCTCAGTCATTTAATGTTGAACATTTATATATCTTGCGGTCATTTATGTTTAAACCCGAAATCTCTAAAGATAATAATTTATTTAACTATTAAGATAGTTTGATTCGTACAATAGGATAATGTTATAATAGTAGATTAAGTTGGGAGTTGATGACAATATTAGTAAGTTTGTCGACATGTGTCAATAACTTTATTTTAATATATATATATATATGCATTTTGGTGTCATCTTGTAGAAAAAAAATAACGTAAAGAGATTGAAATGAAGTTTTTTTTAAAAAAAATATTCTTTTAAGGTGAGAAGGTGAGTTTAAATGATTCAAATTTTAGTTTATAAATTATAATTATAGTATCTCTATAGTTTTAATGGTCTTTCAAATTTTTGCAATATAATTATTGTTTATTTGTTTAATTGTCTAAGAAATAATATCAGTAATTTTTTAAGCTTATTACTTTCTCTGCTCCATTAAATATGTTTATTATTGATTTTTTTTTAATTTTGACTCATTATTATTTAAAATTTATAGTGATGTAGTGATAAAAATAATAAAAAATAGATTTTAAAAACTTTCAATCAAGTAGTTTTTAAATATATATATTATAAAA